ACTACACACAACCACATGATATCACATATTTCAAACCGTAATCTAATACTCACTCTATTCGACACCTCACCTACTCACTCCACTACTACCATCCATCATATAACTACAACCTCCTCTCAGCAATCAACCTTTTCTCACCTTCTGGCTACTCACCATCACCTACCTAACATACTCACTAACAATACCACTCGACGTTCTACACCTCCTACACATCCTCTCGCACTGCCGTGCTCACACCACTAGTACTACTCAGCAACTACACACAACCACATGATATCACCTACTCACTCCACTACAACCATCCATCATATAACTACAACCTCCTCGAAGAAATCAACCTCTTCGTCACCTTCTGGCTACTCGTCATCATCTACCTCCTCTACGCACTACTCGTCCCACTGGACCTCCTCCACATCCTCTCACATTGGCGCCTTGCCAACACCAACCACCCACTACCACTGCATCTACTCGCCAACAACATACCCGCACCTACTACATTGTACTTCCAACCGTAATCTAATACTCACACTATTCGACACGTCATCTACTCACTCCACTACCCACTACTCCACCTCACATTCTGGCTCATCGCCATCATCTACCTAACACACTCACTCACAATACCACTTGACGTTCTACACCTACATTCACACCTACACACTGCCGTGCTATCACCACTAGTACTACTTACCAACTACACACAACCACATGACATCACCTACTCACTCAACTACTACCATCCATCATATAACTATAACATCCTCTCAGTTATCAACCTCTTCGTCACCTGCTGGCTCATCGCCATCACCTACCTCCTCTACGCACTACTCTTCCCACTTGACGTTCTACACCTACAATCACACCTACGCAGTGCCGTGCTCACACCACTAGTACTACTCACCAACTACACACAACCACATGACATCACATATTTCACACCGTAATCTACTACTCACTCTATTCGCCACCTCACCTACTCACTCCACTACCCACTACTCCACCTCACCTCCTGGCTACTTGCCATCACCTACCTAACATACTCTCTCACAATACCACATGACGTTCTACACCTAAGGTCACACCTACGCACTGCCGTAATATCACCACTGGTACTACTCACCAACTACACACAACCACATGATATCACCTACTCACTCCACTACTACCATCCATCATATAACTACAACCTCCTCTCAGCCATCAACCACTTCGTCACCTTCTGGCTACTCGCCATCACCTACCTCTTCTACGCACTACTCTTCCCCCTGGACCTCCTTCACATCCTCTCGCATCGGCGCCTCGCCTATAGTCACTACCTACTACCACTGCATCTACTCGCCCACAACATCCCCGCATCTACTACATTGTACTTCAAACCGTAATGTAATAGTCACTCTATTCGACACCTCACCTACTCACTCCACTACTATCATCCATCATGTAACTACAACATCCTCAAAGAAATCAACCTTTTCTCACCTCCTGGCTACTCGTCATCACCTACCTAACATACTCACTCACAATACCACTGGACGTTCTACACCTACGTTCACATCTACTCACTGCCGTGCTATCACCACTTGTACTACTTACCAACTACACACAACCACATGACATCACATATTTCAAACCGTAATCTAATACTCACTCTATTCGACACCTCACCTATTCACTCAACTACTACCATCCATCATATAACTACAACCTCCTCTCAGCAATCAACCTCTTTCTCACCCTCTGGCTACTCGCCATCACCTACCTCCTCTACACACTACTCTTCCCCCTGGACCTACTCCACATTCTCTCGCATTGGCGCCCCGCTTACACTCATCACCTACTACCACTGCATCCACTCACCAACTACCCACAACCACATGACATCACATACTTCCAACCGTAATGTAATACTCACTCTATTCGACAACTCACCTACTCACTCCACTACTACCATCCATCAACCACAGACAACCTCCTCTCAGTCATCAACGCACTCCTCCTTTGCATCCGCAATCCCTTCCTTTTCTACCTACTCACCTTCTGGATACTCGCCATCATTTACCTAACATACTCACTAACAATACCACTCGACGTTCTACACCTACGTTCACACCTACACACTGCCGTGCTATCACCACTGGTACCACTCACCAACTACACACAACCACATGATATTACCTACTCACTCCACTACTACCATCCATCATATAACTACAACCTCCTCTCAGTCATCAACCTCTTCGTCACCTTCTGGCTACTTGCCATCACCTACCTTTTCTACGCACTACTCTTCCCCCTGGACCTACTCCACATCCTCTCGCATTGGCGTCTCGCCTACACCCATCACCCTCTACCACTAGTACTACTTACCAACTACACACAATCACATGACATCACATACTTCAAACCGTAATCTAATACTCACTCTATTTGACACCTCACCTACTCACTCCACTACCCACTACTCTTCCTCACCTTCTGGCTACTCTCCATCACCTACCTCCTCTACGCACTACTCGTCCCACTGGACACTCTCCACATGCTCTCGCATTGGCGCCTCGCTTACACCCACCACCTACAACCACTGCATCTACTTGCCGACAAGATACCCGCACCTACTACATTGTACTTCCAACCGTAATCTACTACTCACTCTATTCCACTACTCACCTACTCACTCCACTACTACCATCTATCAACCACATATAACCTCCTCTCACTCATCAACAACTTCCTCTACCACATCCGCCAACCCTTCCTTTACTACCTCCTCACCTTCTACCTACTCGCCCTCAACTACCTCCTCTACGCACTACTCTTCCCCCTCGACCTCCTTTCACCATCTACTACCACTGCATCTACTCGCCGACAACATACCCGCACCTACTACATTGTACTTCCAACCGTAATGTAATACTCATTCTATTCGACACCTCACCTACTCACTCCACTACTACCATCCATCATATAACTACAACCTCGTCTCAGTCATCAACCTCCACCTCACCTTCTGGCTCACCGTGCTCACCTACCTCCTCTACACACTACTCTTCTTACTGGACATTCTCCACATGCTCTCGCATTGGCGCCTCGCCTACACTCACCATCTACTACCACTGCATCTACTCGCCGACAACATACCCGCACCTACTACATTGTACTTCCAACCGTAATGTAATACTCATTCTATTCGACACTACATGACATCACATACTTCCAACCGTAATGTAATACTCATTCTATTCGACACTTCACCTACTCACTCCACTACCCACTATTCCACCTCACCTTCTGTCTCATCGCCATCACCTACCTAACATACTCACTAACCACACCACTAGACGTTCTACACCTGCGCACTGCCGTGCTCACACCACTAGTACTACTCACCAACTACACACAAACCAATGACATCACCTACTCACTCCACTACCCACTATTCCACCTCACCTTCTGGCTACTCGTCATCACCTACCTCCTCTACTCTCTCACAATACCACTCGACGTTCTACACCTACAGTCACACCTACGCACTGCCGTGCTCACACCACTAGTACTACTTACCAACTACACACAACCATATGATATCACATACTTCAAACCGTAATCTAATACTCACTCTATTCGACACTTCACCTACTCACTCCACTACCCACTATTCCACCTCACCTTCTGGCTACTCGTCATCACCTACCTAACATACTCTCTCACAATACCACTCGACGTTCTACACCTACGTTCACACCTACACACTGCCGTGCTCACACCACTAGTACTACTTACCAACTACACACAACCAGATGACATCACATACTTCCAACCGTAATGTAATACTCATTCTATTCGACACTTCACCTACTCACTCCACTACTACCATCCATCATATAACTACAACCTCCTCTCAGCTATCAACCTCTTCGTCACCTTCTGGCTACTCGTCATCACCTACCTAACATACTCACTAACAATACCACTCGACGTTCTACACCTACGGTCACACCTACACAATGCCATGCTCACACCACTAGTACTACTTACCAACTAAACACAACCACATGATATCACCTACTCACTCACCTACTACTACCATCCATCATACAACGACTTCTCCTCTCAGTCGTCAACCATTTCTCACCTTCTGGCTACTAGTCATCACCTACCTCCTCTACACACTACTCTTCCCCCTGGACATTCTCCACATTCTCTCGCATTGGCGCCTCGCTTACACCCACCATCTACTACCACTGCATCTACTCGCCCACAATCTACCCGCACCTACTACATTGTACTTCAAACCGTAATGTAATACTCACTCCATTCGACACCTCACCTACTCACTCCACTACCCACTATTCCACCTCACCTTCTGGCTACTCGCCATCACCTACCTAACATACTCACTAACAATACCACTCGACGTTCTACACCTCCGTTCACACCTACTACATTGTATTTCAAACCATAATCTAATACTCACTCTATTCGACACCTCACCTACCCACTCCACTACTAACACCCATCAACAACGTGACCTCACCTACGTCTTTTTTCAATGGCATTAGTCCCTCTCTGCAATGACCAATCGGTGACAAACACCACCGAACAATTTCCACCATTTCCTCAGTGATATCAGATGCGGCCTCAACCATCTCCAAGCTAAGTGGCAAATCTAAAACATCGAAATCGGTATCCCACAAGACCTCGAGTAAACACGCGGTGGAAATGGCAGTAGCTAACAACTATATACTCCCGAAAGACCATGATACAACATGTGCTGGGTCCAAACGTGCAGTCACCAAAGAGATTGTTGTACAAAAGGAACCACTGTCCATCCAAGTATTCGACATTATAGAAGAAGGAAGGAGGTGGTACCGTTCCCTGTGCTACAGCTCCGATGCCACCCGTGCATTCTGTACCACCTTACCTCGTTATATAAATATAGTGGGTCTACACAACGGCCGGCCGGAGCTCTCAGTGGGTAAACCTTCGAAACCCCCCAGAGAACCTTCAACCTCCCTCCTCATCATCCGTAACACCCAAATGGACCCTGTCCTGGGAAGGGAACAGTACATCCCACCCACCCTACTCCGAGGCCTCCTTCCCGACATCCTCCTTGACCAGTACCACTTCTGGCAGAACATCAAAACTGGTGATCTCACGGGCTACCCCCAAAGCACCACCTCCGAGAAATACTCCAAAACACGGATCTGGATTGAACTCGTTATTGACACTTCCCCGGATTCAACCTACTTCCAACACTCTGAGGCCAATGCCATGATACACCGAGTACACAGTGGTGATGTCCCTGTACAACACCTTATCAACCTTAGTTGTCCAAAGGATCCTGTGATACATAACCTTGTTCAGACCCTCTTGAGACTGGATGACCTGAGTCATATCCTTGCATGGACCTATAATGCACAAAGTGTTGACATTGTGGAATTCACCAAGCTAAATCTCACATTCCATGCGGAACTACACAACAACCATGTACGTTACATGTGCCAAGAACACAACGGCCTGTATATCTACATGGGTGACGTATGGCACAGTCCCTTGACCGCAGCTCTGGTCCGTGGCCTCGAAAACAGTTTATTGTTATCCGACCATGACGGTGGTATCTATATAATGGTTAGTACAGTGAGGTATCCCATGCGAGTGTTCCCCGAAATACCCCAAGTGACGGCACTGTCCCAGGATATCGCCCAGGTGCTACAAGGCGTCGCCTGGCCCGAGCTCATCTACGACGGTGGAAACACACACTGGCTCTCTGCCATCGACACCGGCAGTCGTCACTATTTGTACAAAGTCCACTCCTCAAGGTCTTTCCTGTTTGTCCCGACCTACGCCTCGAGCTTGTTCCTCCTTCTCAACAGGTTCCTGGATAGACAGTACGAGCAGGTGTGCATGATCAGCCGGACCACTCTGTTCGAAGACGAAAGTGACAACAGCGAGGAACGTGCCTTCTGGGAGATACTGGGACAAATCACCTCGACCAGTGATCCACACCCCAACGCCTATGCCTGCCGACTCCACCTGCTCCTCGCCGCCAGCAGACAGGGACTCCACGTGACCCAGGGTATCCACGTGAAACGGAGACCCAAATCAACAAGGTACCTGCGACATTTCCTCGGGACTCACAAAGTAACCACGGAGGATGGTGTTTTGGGGGTGAATTGGATCCTACACCAGGAACTACTGGGGTACATCACCCACTTGAGGTGGATCTCCGCTGGGTGCCGATTGACCGTGAAAGAGGAACGTGAACTACTGCTGATGTGCCAACCACAGTTTGCACAGTACCCCCTGTTGTCAAATAGATTAGCCATATTGAATGGGTTGGACACGTCACCGAGACATTGTAGAGTTGTGGCGAAAGTGGACATCACATTGCCAAAGAGACCCGAAGTGTACAACTACGACATGAGAAATGACCGTAGCTGTGTCGAGAAAAGCGTGCATCTAGACAACATTTGTAACATATTCGGTGGTATGCGTTACAAGAAACTGGATACTGTGGTGTATGGTGCCGATGCCCTGTGCTATGTTGACAAAATGTTCAGCAGGGGAC